GGGGGCAGGAGAGGGGGGGGTGTGGAGCCGCTGAGGGTTTTTGTCAGGTTTTTAGCAGAGGAATGATGTAATCAGATTCACATTTTCGAAGGGTCTCTCAGGCTTCAGTGTGAAGAATGAGATTGAGAGGGTCAGGAGTGGGGACAGGAAGGCCATATGGGGGCTCACCGTTGTGCAGGCAGGAGACGGCAGCTTGGTGTGGGGGGGGTGAAGACAGGAATGATGAGACTTCCGGAAGCGGAATCCAGGTGAGTTCTGTGTGGAAGGAGGGAGGGGGACTGAGGTGACGTCTCGGTCTGGTCCATTCAGAGAGGGGCTCGCAGTGGGAGGAGCCCGCTGGGATGGAAGGTGTACATGTAGGGCTCCGAGAAATCCGGGCTGTAGATCGAGGCGATATCTGTAGGTGGCATCCAGGAGTCACAAGACTGCCAGTGGGTAAGGTCTCCCTGGAGACGGCAGCAGGTGAAGAGGCGTCTGCCACCCACTGCTTACCTCTGGCCGCTGCGCTGCAGCCCAGCCAGCCCCTCCCTTCTGTCCGTTCCCAGGAGCCAGCACTGTCCCGCGCCACTCCTCCCTCCTCCCTCCTCCTTCCTCCCTCCTCCCTCCAGCTCTGCTCACTCCTCTCCAGGGATGGTGCTCCTCCTGCCTCTTGGCCCCCCAGCTGCAGAGCCGCCTGTTCGCCCCTTGTCCCCTCGTAGGTGGCAGGCTCCTTAGAGGTTCGAGAGAAGCGCCTTTGTAGGCATCAGGCTATTGAAAATCTGACCCTGGTTTTAAAAACAAAATTTTAAGCTTCATTTGCCTCTACATTTGCCTCCATGTCCGCCTTTCAGCCTCTGAACTGCTTGTGGGGTCAGTCACTCACCTTCTGTGAGTCTTGGGCCCTAGATTATCCTGAGAATTAAAGTCGGTGCTGGGATTGTGTAGGTCTCCTGTGCCCTGCGGCAGGCAGGGGTGGTTGGGGCACGAAGGGGAAAGTGCTGCGTACCGGGGGGTCCTGCAGACGCCTGGGCAGGTAAGTTTCTGAGTTCTTTCACTTTGGGAAATGCCCCCATTTTTGTCTTCTCGTTGGATAGTGATGGAATTGAGTAAGGTTTTCGGTTTATTCGGGTTTGTGCTCACAACTGCGTTTGTTCGCTCACGGCCAGCGTGGCTTCCCTCGTGGTTGCGGAGCTGTGCTTCCTGTGGGGCGTGTTCTCTCTCTCTCTCTCTCTCTCTCTCTCTCTCTCTCTCTCTCTCGTGTTCTGGTTGGGGGGTGTGCCAGTGGGGGTCCGGTGGCCGCACACACAATCCCTTGGCTTGGCCAACATTTTAGTTCCTTCAGCCGGGCTCTGCCTCTCCTGGCGGGGTCCCAGGATCTCTGGGCAGACACCCACTTTCTGTAAAGTGGGTCCAGCCATTCTGACCAGGGCGGGAGGGGCTCCCGTGATAGAGGTTTGTGGGAGCCCCAGCTTATCTCTGGGGTCTCAGCTGATGTTCCTTTAGCTCGGACCCCAGCAGCTCTCTCTTCCTGTAACTTCATGTTCTGACTCATGAGGGCACCCTGTATTCTTCCCACGGGAGGCGTCATGGCTCGTGTGGCTGCTGTTGTGTTAACTTGTAGCACTTTCCACGGGGATCTGGGAGGGAGATCGGCCTGCCTGTGTGCTCATCTGCCGCCTCACCGGGAAGCTAGGGACAGTGCTTAACCTTCAGATTCGGAAGGAAAGCGTTAAAAACTGGCGTGTGTGTGTGTGTGTGTGTGTGTGTGTGTGTGTAATCCTCACCCCAGGATATTTTTCCATGGATTTTTTAGAGAAAGTGGAAGGGAGGGTGGGGGAGGGAAGAGAGAGAGAGAGAGAGAGAGAGAGAAGAGCATCAGTATGAAAGATTGGTTGCCTTTCACATCCAGGGGAGGGATCAAGCCTACAACCGAGGTATATGCCCTTGACCAGGACCCTTCAGTTCACTGGCTGACACCACTGAGCAAACCGGCCAGGGCAAAAACTTACATCTTTTTTTAAAAATATACTTCTTTATTGATTTCAGAGAGGAAGGGAGAAGGAGAGAGAGATAGAAACATCAATGATGAGAGAGAATCAT